GGCACGGATGAATACAATGGTTTGGGCACATCATTATTGGGAGTAAGGTTTTCAGGTGGGACAGGAGGAGATATACCCTCGCCTGCAGATATTGTAGTGGGCGGAATTTGGGTGAGAGGAGTTGGCACTTCACAAGTGGGGTTGAAACTATAAACCAGCGACTGTACGAGGTCCGCTACTTCGGGGTTCAGCGACACCTAAAAAGAAAATTAAGCCATTAGGAGGCATGACTCAAAACGTTCAAAAGAGAGCGCGCTCAGTTTGCCAGTTGCAAATCGGCGGGTGAAACAAAGTATGAAAGAACATAGTGGAGCATGTCACACCCCATCTGCAACCAGATAACACTCAACATGCATTGGCGAGGACATTACTTTGAAAGTATAGACATCGGCAAAAACCTTTGATGACACATTAAACTATGGCCTGCTGTCTTAACTTCTTGTTATGTGTTGACACACAAGAAAACCCAAAACGACAGGTACGTATTCACAATGTGATAAGCGAGATGGATAGGGTCCTCGCAAACGACAAGATGTGCCGCACTGTAGTCAAGCATACATGATTAGCGCTATTTCCCATGAACATATCAGAAAGAGGGACAGCACGCCTAGGCGTCAAGTATGAAGCAAGACGACTGAGCAAGTCGGTAACTGATACTCGTTATTTTGCCGAACTGACAGGCTCCAATTTGAAAGATCATAAGCAATAAATTAAGCTAATATCTAGGAAGATTGTTCTTTTAATCTGGGATGACACCGACATACCAACAACATGCATGCCCAGCAATAACAATGAAGGCGACAGCCGGCGTACAAGACACCGTCAGAAACTAACCTTCGCTTTTCCATCCCCCTGATCTTTGATGATAAGCAGGTCCTCCTTCTCTGATGGATGCTCCTTCGCGTGTAACTACAAGACGAATTACAAAATTGCGGGTTGTTTAATAATTCTAGTTACTAGCAAGCATTAAGCGGTAAGCCGAGTACAGAGATCGACACGGCCCACCAGCACCACACAGAACTCTGATAACTCTACGTAACCTGGGGCATCGCCCGCACTAACGCTGAAAGTTCAAGTACGTTAATACTCCTCATAGACGGCGAAAGGAAACGCCCCCTATCACCGACTGCTCCGGTGCAGTTACTGCAGTGGGTACGGAGAACCGACCAGACGAACAAGTCGACACGCCTGTCCAGAACCCACGAGTTACTACGCCGGGTAGGCCTGCTAGGCTGTAGACACGAAATGAAGTATCCAATGCATTAACATTTAAATGGTTGGCGCTAACACCAAGTAAGGCAAACTCCTTAGACACGAGTGCTCAGGAAGCAAGGAGTATGCTATCATCAGTGTTCTTGCAACTGAGATCTGACATACTTTTGCGCGGTCTTAGGAATGACAAAAAACGAGGACCTTCGTCGCTCCATATACCCTACAGCGGTTTATCTTCAACACACAAAAAGCAGGAAAAACGGGGAGGTGCAACTTAACTCTGCACTAATTAACAACTTGACTCACACTGACGAATGGATGTACAGAAAAACCGTCCACCCCGCCAGCGCTTCCACCAATATCAAGTGGAAAGGATTCAAGAAGGCTTGATTTTTATTAATAAGTGAGTAAACAAGAAAACCAATGAAATGAGAAAACGGGGACCCCAGAAAGTTGCGACGGCCTCCCGGCAAACATACATCTTCCAAAGGAATTTCGACAGCAGACGCAGACTCGAACTCTTCTTTCTCTGGCTCTTCAGGGGAAGGTGGTATACTCTCGCGAGTAAAGTAAATGGCTTGCAACACATAACGTTCCCGTTCGCGCTGGAGCTGCCGCTCCACAGATTTGCAGCCAGGTTCGACGAGAATGGTCAACTCAAGGGGTGCAGGCGTTTGCCACTAAAAATGTACCGAAAAAATAGTAAACCACGTAATGCAGCAAATATTGTAAAAGAAGAGGATTAGAGTTGAGTCATCAAAGGTTGCTTCGTTCGCAATATTGAGTCTGACATACCTTCGCATCTTTGATTTCAATTTCTTCATGACGCCTGAACAACTGCCGTTCTAAGGAAAGTTCCTTCTGGCGAATTTCAGCCAAAGAGATCCTGTTCACGTTAACTAAAAGTGGAGCGATGCAAGGTAAAAAGACTGAAAGTGTTGGAGCAATTGAGAATATTGTCTGATAACGCGCCATAAAAACTGACCCACCTCGTTCGTTTTCATCGACCTCAAAGAAGGACACTGCCTGAAGT